GGAGGACAGGGTGGGGGAAAGAGGGTTCATTTATACATTAATGTTGGAATTGTAATAATGAATTTTTATTACCTAAACCATTTGTTTTAAAATATAGCCGGGCGCGGTGGCTCACGCCTGTAATCCTAGCTCTCTGGGAGGCTGAGGCGGGTGGATTGCTCGAGGTCGGGAGTTCGAAACCAGCCTGAGCAAGAGCGAGACCCCGTCTCTACTATAAATAGAAAGAAACTAATTGGACAACTAACTATATATTAAAAATTAGCGCGGCATGGTGGCGAATGCCTGTAGTCCAGCTACTTGGGAGGCTGAGGCAGTAGGATCGCTTGAGCCAGGAGTTTGAGGTTGCTGTGAGCTAGGCTGACGCCATGGCACTCACTCTAGCCTAGGCAACAAAGCGAGACTCTGTCTCAAAAAAAAAATATATATATATATAGAATAACCTAAAAGTTAAAAAAAAAAAGTCATGGGAGAATATGTTGATTAGGTAGGTGCGGATCAGATAAGATTATGAAGGATTTTGGAGAATTCAGAAGGTTTCTGAGAGGGTAGTTCAAGAAAATTAGAAAAGTAGCAGGATTTTGAATGGATTGGAATCCATGTAATCAATCCCTAAAGAGACAGATATTCATGTATATACATATAATACATAGCATTGGCCAGAAGGAAGGAACAAATTCCAGAGATGTTTGGGTTTTTTTTGTGTGTTTTTGAGACAGAGTCTCACTCTGTTGCCTAGGCTAGAGTGCTGTGGTTTCAGCCTAGCTCATAGCAAGCTCAAACTCCTGGGCTCAAGCAATCCTCTTGCCTCAGCCTCCCAACTAGCTGGGACTACAGGCATGTGCCACCATGCCTGGCTAATTTTTTTTTTTTTTTTTAGCGTATTATGGGGGTACAAGTGTTAAGGTTACATACATTGCCCATGCCCCCCCCTTGAGTCAGAGCCTCAAGCGTGACCATCCCTCAAACGTTGCACATCTCACTCATTGTGTTTGTATATACCCATCCCCTCCTCCCCCTCCCACCTGCCCGACACCTGATAAATGTTATTCCTATATGTCCACTTAGGTGTTGATCTGTTAATACTAATTTGCTGGTGAGTACATGTAGTGCTTGTTTTTCCATTCTTGAGATACTTCACTTAGTAGAATGGGTTCCAGTTCTATCCAGGAAAATACAAGAGGTGCTATATCACCATTGTTTCTTAAAGCTGAATATTACTCCATGGTATACATATACCACATTTTATTAATCCACTCACGAATTGATGGGCATTTGGGTTGTTTCCACAACTTTGCAATTATGAATTGTGCTGCTATAAACATTCGAGTGCAGGTGTCTTTTTCATAAAGTGATTTTTGATCTTTTGGGTAGATGCTCAGTAGTGGAATTGCTGGATCAAGTGGTAGATCTACTTGTATTGCTTTAAGGTATCTCCATATTGCTTTCCACAGAGGCTGAACTAGTTTGTAGTCCCACCAGCTAATTTTTTATATATATTTTTAGTTGTCCAGCTAATTTCTATTTTTTAGTAGAGATGGGTCTCACTCTTGCTCAGACATGGTTCCTGACCTCGAGGGATCCTCCCGCCTTGGCCTCCCAGAGTGCTAGGGTTATAGGCGTGAGCCACCACGCCCGGCCTCCAGAGGTGTTTCTAAGAAAAATGTCAAAAGGTCTTTATTGACTGATTGAATCTGGGAGAAAAAAGGATGAAAGTCAAAACAAGCTTCTGCTCTTGTGTTGCTGGGGGCAAATGCTAACACTGACACAGATGAAGCAATGGGAGGACAATGCAGAGCTTCCAGAAGCTTTTCTAATAATGAATCAGTGAATTGACCATTTTCAAATGCCTATTCACTTTAATTAATAATTTCGTAGTTACCCCAAATTGGTGTTTATAAAAAAAAAAAAAAAAAAATAATTTCGTAGATTATTTAAGATTTAGCACGTATTACATTACAGGGCTAGGTGCTGAGTTAGAGAAAGGTGTTATCAGCTTTTTGGAGTTAATTACAGCAAACATGCTTTTATTTTTGAAAAGTTAAAATTTCTCAAATCACCACTCCATTTTCTACTTTGTATTAACAAAAAGGCAGTATGACGTAGGGGGCAAAGTGTGCATGTTCTGGGGCCGGGCCCTTTGGGTTCAGATCCTGGCTCTGACATTTCCCAAGGCATATGACCTAAACAAATTATTGAACTTCTCTGTGCCTCAGTTTCTTCATCTGGAAAGTGTGAAAGATAATAATACTTAACTCGGCGGGGCGCGGAGGCTCACGCCTGTAATCCTAGCTCTCTGGGAGGCTGAGGCGGGTGGATCGCTCAAGGTCAGGAGTTCGAAACCAGCCTGAGCAAGAGTGAGACCCCCGTCTCTACTATAAATAGCAAGAAATTAATTGGCCAACTAATATATATAGAAAAAATGAGCCAGGCATGGTGGCACATGCCTGTAGTCCCAGCTACTCGGGAGGCTGAGACAGGAGGATCACTTGAACCCAGGAGTTTGAGGTTGCTGTGAGCCAGGCTGATGCCATGGCACTCACTCTAGCCTGGGCACCAAGGTGAGACTGTGTCTCAAAAATAAAAATAAAAATAAAATAATACTTAACTCAAGGTATATTATGAATTACAACATGTAAAGAATTTGGACTGTTGCCTGGCATGTAGCAAACCTTTGATAGATGTAAGCTGTCACTTTATTAATATGTATATAAGAACTGTAGCATATACCCTGACCCATACGTAAGCTACTAGAGAATGGTAAATAAGTTTTCCTATCAAAATATTTTTATGTCAGATTTCTTAAAAATAAGCACTACATTTACATGGTGCTTAATTTAAAAATTGTCAAAACACACACGGTAAAATGTAAGTCTCTCTTCTACCCCATGTCCCAGCCATCCAGTCCCCTGCCCAGAAACAACCAGTATTATAGGGGTTTTGCGTATGCTTCCAGAAATAGACTATATATCTCTGGATACAAATACATTTATATACATTTCTCAGCTCCTGCTTTTAAAAACCCATACACAAATGGAAGCATAATGTAGACACAGCGTTCTACACCTTGCTTTTCTTTTTTCCAACCTATATACTTGCTTCTACTGATGCGGTAATGGTGACTTAAGTTTGTATTCTTCAGAGGCTAATGTAGTGCTTTTCACCTAGATGGAATCCAAAGAATATTCAGTAGAAATACAGACTTCCAGTGCTGGAATGTTAGAGATTAGTCAGTCCACCTATTATTTTATAGATAATTAACATACAGAAAGTAAAAAATTACTTGCCAAGGTATTACAGCTAATATAGATTGTAAAGAAATCAATGAGTGAGCCAACTTAAAGGAGCATCCACAGCACTTCCTTCCTTCCTTCCTTCCTTCCTTCCTTCCTTCCTTCCTTCCTTCCTTTCTTCCTTCCTTCCTTCTTTCTTTCTTTCTTTTGAGACAGAATCTCACTGTGTTGCCTGGCTAGAGTGCCGTGGCATCAACCTAGCTCACAGCAACCTCAAACTCCTGGGCTCAAACAATCCTTCTGCCTCAGCCTCCTGAGCCACTATGCCCAGCTAATTTTTTCTATATTTCGTATTTAGTTTGCCAATTAATTTCTTTCTATTTTTTTTTTTTTTTTAGTAGAGACGGGGTCTTGCTCTTGCTCAGGCTGGTTTCTAACTCCTGACCTTGAGCGATCCACCCGCCTGAGCCTCCCAGAGTGCTAGGATTACAGGCGTGAGCCACCACGCCCAGCCCACAGCATTTCAATAAAAGCATATCTAGTCAAAATGTTAAAAGTCATTACAAATAAAAAAAATAAATAGGACTGGCTGTAGCTGTAGAGCAGTAGTAACTCTATATAGTTTCTCTATAGTGATCTCATATCCATTAGTTCACATAATCCTCTCAAAGCTGACAGGTAGGTCCTCTTATGTCCATTTTACAGAAAGTAAAACAAGCAGGGGTGTTAATTTATTTATTTATTTACTGAGACAGGGTCTCCTGCTCTGTTGCCCAGGCTAGAGAGCAGTGGCCTCATCATAGCTCACAGTAACCCTAAATTCCTGGGCTCAAGTGATCCTCCTCACTCAGCTTCCCAAATAGCTGGGACTACAGGCACGTGCCACCACGCCTGGGTAATAATTCTTTTTAAAGCAGGTATTAAAAATAGTGAAATATGATCTGTCTTTGGATCTGTATAAGAGAATCCTACAGTACTCCTGAAAAAAACGGAAAATGCTATTGAGATGCACAAGTGAGGAACCAATAAGTAAAAATGGATTCACAGGCATTCAAGGCTACAATGCGTTCACAATACTTTAGAACGTTCTACAATGGATTATGGGTGAGAGTACAATGACTTCAGTGACATGGGTCAGTCTCCAATACTCAAAGATGAAGACGATTCCATCATTCAGCGAATTTTTGCTACAGCTAGTGCTGGAATGATTCTAATGATCTGTTTTGCACAAGTGGGTCAAAGCACTTTTTTGCAAAGTCTGGCTGATAACTGCTCTTGCGTGAGCACACACAGGTGATGCACTTTTAGCCCTGGGGGCTGGCTCCATACCATCTGATGGCGCTTGCTCTGATTGTTTAAGGGTTAGGGCTCCGCTCCCTCTCCCTGCATTGCCAATTCGTGGCTAAGCTTCGTGTCTCCCAGAGCCACCCAGCGAGAGCGCCTCAGTTCCAGCACCCAACGAAGTTCTAGAAGGAGGTAGAGAGCAGAGGGCGACATCGCGCATGCGCACCGGTGTACGCAGGCGCAGCCTCTCTCCTTCCTCATCGCCTTGGACTCCCACCCAACCGGGTGTCGGTCGTCCCGCCCCCCAAGAGCAAAATCGGGATGCGATTGGGCATGCTGGGTATCCATCAGACCGGGCTCTTTTCTCTTCAAGGCAATTGGCAGTCGGAGAAAAGGCCTGTCAGCCGTGGTCTTCCTACTCCTTGGAGACTCGGCGCCACCGCGGAAGCCGCTATTGGCGGAGGGCAGGGGCAGCGACTGCTCACTTCCGGCGCGGGCCTCGACGATTTCTCCCCCTCCCCCCGCCATCGCCCTCAGCCTTCCTACCCCCCGCCCTTCCACCATGGCCGCCTCTGTGTGGTGTGGGGAGAAGCTGGTCCTCCGTGTCCTCCTATAGCGCTTACTGCCTCACCTTCACCCCTTAGGGGCCGGATCCAAAGAAGCCTCGCTCCCCAACCCTTGGGGCACCAGCCAGGAAGGTTTCCTACCCCCTACTTCAGGGGCAGGACTCCTCTTTTCCCCCCACCAGGAAACGGGGTAGAAACTTAGGGTTTTCCCTTCTCTTAGTGTCAGAAGCTCTTAGGGTCCACCACTTCAGGGGCGGAAGCCTCTCCTGCCCTTCCCATAGGGGCACAGACCTTTACCCACTATACTTCGGCGCTAACGGCTTTCCTTCAGCACTGCCACTGCAAAGTCAGGACCTAGAGGACCGTCCGCCTTCACCCGCTCCGCAGGCGCGGCCTTTTGGAGGGAGGAGTGGAGAGGACAGGGACCCTTGCCCCCTCTCCCCCCACTTGTTCCTCTTGCTCCCGGTCCCTGGCAACCCAGAGTTCCCCATTTCTAGGACTCTCCACCCATCCACTCCCTGACCTTTTCCTGTCTCCTGGCTGCAGCCATGGAGTTACAGAAGGGAAAAGGGACAGCAGCAGCAGCTGCTTCGGGAGCAGCGGGAGGTGGAGGAGGAGGAGCGGGAGCAGGAGCCCCAGGAGGGGGGAGGCTGCTACTTTCAACCAGTTTGGATGCCAAGGATGAGTTAGAGGAGGTAGGTGTGGGGGGTGGGAAAGGGAGTTAAGAAATTGGGTTGAGGAGGGATACTGGAGTGGATGTGGGGTGAGGGTGGGGGTTGGGGGAGGAGGCCTTCAAGTTTTTTCTGAAGCAACACAAACTGCTCCAGCTTCCTGCTCCTGAAGGAAGAAGTGTGGGCCAACTTCCTGGACAGGTTGTCATAGAAACAGCAGCCACCAGTATGAAAATGGGTGGGGGGCATTGACGAAGGAAGGGGCATAGCATCCAGATTTACTGAATTTATTTTTGATATTCTGTTCCCACATACATACCACAGCTATTTTTATTATCAGCCCTGTTTCAGACTTAGGTCATATGTTGAGTTGAGAAGTAACGTGTGTTTGTGTAGGTGTTTGCGGCTGATAGGAGCGGGCAACAGACCTTGGACCCTCTTGTTAAGTGGTTTCATGGACTTCATGTAGACACAGCCAATTGCCAGTTATGTCAGCTGGGCATTTAGAATGAGTGAAGACTTAAAGAAAAGTGAGTAGTGTTTAGTTTGGAGGCATCAGCTACAGCGTGGGATGAGAGGGTGAATGGGGCCTAGGAGATTCCTTCAGAACCAGATAGCTCACACACAGAGGAGAGAACATACATGTGCTGAGAAAGAGGGTGGAGTGAGGCAATATGATGGACCTGAATGGGGACTAGGGGACTCCTTCCCTCCCCCACTTGTTCCTCTTGCCCCTGCCAGTCCAGACTTGATATGTATGCTTTTCCACTGCTACACAGGAGGTGACACACTTAGGTATATGAGACCCAGAAGTGGGACATGATCAACTCTTTGTAAGGCCTCGTACATTCAACTCAGTGGTTATCCAGAGACAAGATGAGGAAATTAACAGACCTTGGCTCTTCACTGGCCATTTCCCTACTTCTGACTTTGTTATTGTTCTTTATCAGATATTAGAGGGTGGGCAGGCAGATAAGTGAAACTCAGAGTTTAGATTTGAAAAAAATGTTCAGATACAAGGTGATAGAAAATACATGTAAAAATGAACTTTGTGAATCAAGAGGTGGTTGTATAGCAACTTCGTGGATTATCCACCAGCGAATGTCTACTCACAGTCTGGCTTCTCACCAAGCTTTTCCTCAATTCTATGTGCATTTAGATAAATCAGAATTTGTTTTCTGTTCTCTCTTTTTATCAACTAAGGTAGATATAATTAGGAGTGTAAATAATACTTCTAAAAGTAATGTATTCCCAAAACAAATGAAAATTATTTTAGGATTGCCTGGCAATTTGAATTATCCACTTTTTTAGAGATGGCCACTGTCATTGTCAGTATTAATTGAGCCTAATTCTAGCACTGGAGCTCTAGAATTGTAGAAAGTCAATAGTTGGCTGCTTTTGATCCCTCCACCAGTTTGGGGGGAGGGGGAAAGATCCCAAGGATTGGAATCCCCATCATGATTCTTAGAGGGATCATTGTGTCTCTGCTTTAATTTGTACCACAGGACAGTAAGCATCCTGTTCTGAGCAGTGACGTATTTGCTAGTAAATCAAATGATATAGCAGGAGGAGACCGCCAAAGAGAGGAAGCATTTATTTTCTTGCTTTTTTAGACTGTCTGAAAATGAACTTCAGCTGTTTCCAGGCAGAAGGGAGAAGGAGGGTCTCTTTCTTTTCTGATCTCCTTCATGATGTGGATATTTCCTAGCATGTCTCAAACTGCCCCCTTTACTTCTTTGCCCTTTGTCCTTTGCTTTTGAATTTTCCAGCAAGCCTTGTCACGCTATTTTTCCCCCTTGTGTGTGGTTCTGTTATCCCCACTAGACCAGAGTGTCTCTGAGGGCAAGACTTACTGGCTTCTTCCTCTGGGTCTCCCCACAGATCTCTGCACACAGAAGTTACCAAAACCTGGTGTTGACCGACCGACCTCTGCTTGTTCTGGCTTGGTTATTTTCCATCACAGATCTACCCATTGCCCAGGAACACAGAGGTAGCTTTCTGACCATATATGCTTACTGTGTGCTGAGTCTGGTAGGAAAATAGAATGGGAGAGATCCAAGGTCTGCTTTTCAGAGCCTATCATCCAAAGGCTTGAGTTAACATACCCACAAGGAAGGTAAAAGGTGTACTGAAGAGACTAGGGTCATCATAGCTGGGTGTGATTAGGAAAGAACCTTTAGAGGTCTGGAGTATGAAGCACTATAACTCTTCTACCCTGGGGAGCATTTGTTATATCCTTTCTTCTCTTTGGCCCTGTTCCTCCCTTTGAAGGCGGAAGTCTTCTTGCCCATCCCCATCCCAGTCTGGGGAGGGAATGAGATAAAAATAGTGCCAGAGATTGAAGGAGTTTAGAACATGTAGTTCCTAGTCTCATGAGCCTTTGCAGCTCCTGGTTATTCTGCCAAGGGGGGAATAACTTCCAGTCACTTGGAAGTCAGGTTGAAAGCAGGAGCTGTGGTCCTAGAAGTCAGAATTTCCTCTTAAGCTATGGATAGTTCTCAGGGTTGCATTTGGTTAGAGGTAATGACGCTACCAGGTTTTTCCTAAGGAATAATCCAAGTCCTTTCTGTGAGGTATTTCTAGGGAATGAGTTTCATTTCTAATTTTTGTCCCCTTAAATCATCATTTTGTATAGAAGTGACTCTTGGTTATAGAATACTTGGAACCCAGTTTGTTTGATAACTCCTTACCGATACAGGTCTTTGGGGATTTTGTAGGTTTTATTGTATCTTCCTTTTCTGAAGATGGTGTAATCCCTCAGGGCCACCGACTTCCCACAAGGGCAGCAGTATTTATTATACACTTTTAACCAAACTGTATATTCACCTGGCTGAGGGAGGGGAAATGGAAAGGTGAGAGGGGTACCTCCAACTTGAGCCTCCAGCTTTGGATATACATTGGCAAACAGAAAGGCTTTCCCCCTTCCTCCCCCGTTCTATCTACTGTTGCTGTCATGGAAACCATGGTCAGGTAGTCTTACTACTAGAAAAATTAGTCCAGTAGCTCCTAGAGATGGTAAATATTTACTCAGCCTAGGTGCTGTCATGGAGGGCTTACTTTGAACGGAGCCATTCTGCCAGCGATTGCTGGCAACTGCATGTATGATCTTTACTAAGGGACTCTAGAGTCTGAAGGAAGAGGGGTACTGTTACTTGATTGTAGGTATCTGGTTTCTTGTGGCTGTCTTTGAGAGGACATGGTCCTTCTGTCACCCTGAATGATTTATAATAAGTTCTCCCATCCCTGTTTAGAAAAGTAATTTCTGTAGTTCAGGAAGAATAGTAGCATCTTTACTTCTATTGCCAAAAAAGGACTGGCATTCACATTTCTTTCCTCATTGCATTTATCCACCTACCCAAATTCTGGACTCTTCCACTTTCTACATCCTTAGCTGGGCCTCTCTGTTCCAAGAGGCTACTTTTCTCCTTCACTGGGCAGTGACGCATAGAATTGACTAAAGCTTCTGAGCCGGGGAGGGGCCTAGAGAAACTGTTCAGTCCAAGGTCTCTTGAGTATTAGATCACAGCCAGAGACTCAGCTAGCCCATAAAGCTATGTAGCCAGCTTTGCAGAATCTTGATACAGGGTATATTAGTCAGAAGGTAGGTAGGAGAGAGTGCTTTCAGCCTGATCAGAGACTTATCCATGTCCTGTGGTAGGAGTTAGTTTTCATAATTTTTTTTTTTATTTCGGCATATTATGGGGGTACAGATTTTAAGGTTTCAATAAATGCCCATTTCCCCCCCTCCCATAATTTTTTTTTTTAAAGACAGCATCTCACTCTGTCATGCAAGCTGGAGTACAGTGACATGATCAAAGCTCACTGCAGCCTCAGACTCCTGGGTTCAAGTGATCCTCCTGCCTCAGTCTCCTGAGTAGCTAGGACTACAGGTGCACACCACCATGCTTGGCTAATTTTTGTATTTTTTGTAGACATGGCGTCTAACTATGTTGCTCAGGCTGGTCTCAAACTCCTGGCCTTCCAAAGTGCTACGATTACAGGTGTGAGCCACCATACCCACCCAGTTTTTAGGAATCTTTAAGGACATACCATTAGAGGTAGTGGCAGGGTATAGAGGGATGGGGTCTGGTCCTCATCGATTTAGTTGTACAAATTGCTGAGCTTCCTACAAATTGAACAGAGTCTAATTCTGAGGCTGTATGCTAGGTGCTTTCACATATGATGTCTTGTCTAATCCTCACAGCAACCCTATGATACAGACGTTATCTCCCTTTTTTTGCTTTGAGACAGGGATCTCACTGTGTTGCCCAGGCTGGTCTCAAACTCTTAAACTCAAGTGATCCTTCTGCCTCAGCCTCTTGTGCAACTGGGATTACAGGCACAACAGTTTAAACATTATCTCTATTTTTCAGATAAGAAAACCAGGTTTAGAGAGGCTACATAACTGAAGATTAGCCTAAGGCTAGCAAGCGGTGGAGGATTCCTTCTATACTGTGTTTCCTGTCAGTCACTGCTCTTTAGTTAGCTGCTGTTTGCCTTCTCTTGCCTCTCTACTCTGTTGTTTCAGTAGAGATTTCTCCCTTTGATGGAAGCAATATTTAGAATTTTAGGATGCTGTGCTACTGTTTGTTCACCATCTCTCTCTACTCTTAAAACTGCTTGTTAACGTAGGCTGGATACAGGCTTCCCACTAGATCTCCCAGCAAGGACAGTTGGGACCTAGCAGCTGAAATAATTGATTCTCCAGTCCTTGATAACTATCTTGGGTAGAGAAGGATAAGATTTAAAAAGAGAAAATCCAGTCTGAAGTTTTTCCTCCCCTCACCTTATATAGGAGTTGGACTAGGTAATGATGGATCTCAGAGCTTGTGGAAAAGGTGGGTTGTGAGAGTCACAGCTCAACTTTCATGTGATCTCACACTTCTTTTTCACAAGTACGCAAGTGCTGTTTATTGAGGCCAAACTGCTGATCTGACCTAATTTGGGGGAATACTCATACCTGACTGATGTAGTACTTTCAAACCCAAGCAGCTTTGGGCTTTTTTTGTTGTTGTTATTCCTAA